CGCCATTAACCTGAAAAATCCCTACCGCCATTACACGTCTAATCCTCTAAAGGGTATAATCGAAAAGAGTTAAACGTTGTCACGTTTTTCGGATCGGTATATATATAGGTGTTGAAGAAATTTTTGAAGGTCGTTGAAGGATCTCGATTTAGGGACGCGATTTACGATCCTTCTCCTTCTCCTCGATCATTCTTCATTCCTTGGCTCAGTGTTGCACAACGAGTCATTATCGAGATGATAACGCGATGAAATATATTTAGTGACACGCGAACGTGTGCACGCTTCCGTTTTGCGTTTTTTTGCTAATTGATCGACTCGTTAATGATTATATTTTTTTTCCTCTTTGTTATTATTGTAAATTATCTCAATTGTTGTAATTTTATATAAAGGAATTTTAATATCCCTCGATAGGATTTGATTCGTTGTTGAAAACGTAAACGAGTTCTTAATGACTTTTAATCTTTTCAAAGATGATTATCGTAGAACTTGAAATGGATTAAGAAATACGATAAAATAATCTAATCGATATTTAAACCAAATGTGATGATTAAATGATTCTGAAAATGATATTTTCACGCGATAATATGGAAAATTTATGTATCAAAATTACACGTATCTCGATTGAAATATCTAAAAGTAATAAACGTTACGTATATTCCACTATAAAACTGGAACAGCAGAGAGGCAAACCGTCCTGTCGACTCCACAAAGGGTTAAAATCCACGGACGTTAATTGAAAAACTTGGATCTGTCCCCATGAGCCAGTAATATATCCGCTTATAGCTATGTGCGATTAAAAAAATATATATTTAAATTATTTAAAATATTTCAAATTTCAAATTTTTAATTTCTAAATATTATCTATTATTATTATTATTATTATTATTATTATTACACGTTATATAAAAACCTCAACGATGATCAATTATCAAAAAAAATTCACTCTAGCAGATATACACAGTTTCCAGATATTTTATCGTCAAACTCCGTACACTCCGGTGAAAAGTGTTCACAACAGTTCAAAAGCAGCAAAAATCAGTAAAAAAAATAAGAGAAAGATAGATAGACACGCTGTGAAATGTGGAGAAAAAAAGAGAAAGAATGGGATCGATCGCGAAGCTTCTCCAACCAGGTTTCTCACGGCCCAATTTCGTATATTGTAAACGGTGCTCGCTCGTAATTAACACGCAACGCGCAAAGAAAAGGGATGGAAAAAAGCGCGGTCGACGACGAGGAGGAAGATTATCCCGGTCCACCTTGACTCGCGATGGCCGAACGATCCGCCAAGTACAAGGCAGCCGGTGGAATTATTCGGTGCACTGCTATCGAGCCAATTTACTTTCTCTTTCGTTTTTTGCACGACACAGTGTTCGCGAGCTCTAGCGGCCAAAGCGTGGCGGCGTCTCTTTAATTAAAACGACAGCGACACGGATAAGCGGTTTTTCGAGATCGAAAATTGTTGTCCGAGCTGTCAACCGTGATCCTTGTAACCTTCAAGAGTGATTTTTGAAAGTCGAGATGCGGTATAGTTCTTGCTGTATGAAGTGAATTTTAGGCTGCGTTCTCATTGAAAGAAAAAAAAAAAAAAATTCTTTTTGTAATTATGTTCTTCGATAATCATTCAATTATGATATTTTTCTATTTTTTTCTTTTCTTATTCATGTAATATTAATTTACCAGTTCCTTAGAAAAAGCAAAAGTAGGGAAAATTTATTTATAAGGAGAATTCATCTTTTATAATATACGTTTAAAAGTTTCTGTGTAGCATTCTCGTATAGGTTAATATTTTAGGTTGGATTATAGCAACGATTACCATGAATCCTCGGTCGAGCCTCGATGCCGTTTCTAACGGTACCCATGGTATACTTCGAAGTTTTCTTCCCCCACCCGATCCACCTTTAAGCGCGTTTCCACGCGGCACAACTCTCTTACTCCTCCTCCTCCGCCTCCTCTTTCGTTTAACTTCCACTTACCTGTTGCAATTGCACGGTAATTATCGACCGATCGTAGTCTATCTATCTATCCCGACTTAACTTTCATGTGCTCGGTATATTCGACTTGTATGGAATATACACGATTACGAAAATGAGATGATCGGATTTTTATTTCTGTGTTGGTTCTCGAACATTCGAGAAATGGATTAAACGGATCAGGAATTCACCGATTTTCCTCCACTAGCCATGGTTTTTCGTTCGTACGATAGGATTTCACGGTAGATCGATCGAAAACGGATATACCATAATAAGATTTCAAACAGCCAGGATTTAGTTTGCCAATTGACCACTATCTCTCTCCCATAGTCGATAAGAAAGAAGAACATTTCTTTGTTAGAATTTTCCAGAAACATATCCCTTTACGGTCATACGGTTGGGCCTAATGGCCAATTTACAAAAGCATAACTGTACACGTTAAAATCGAAGCTGTAGGCGATACATGAGAAACAAAGACCAGAGAGGGCGCCAGAGTAGATTTAGACCGAATAGAGTAGGTAGTGCATGGGACACAGTAGTGCCGAAAATCTCGTGTAATCGACGATCTTCGATTTTCTCTCGTTATTAATTATAATTTCTTCGTTTCTTCGTTCGTAAACACGTTCCTCCACACACGTTGAACAGTGATCTTGGAAGACAGAGAGAAGGTGGTGTTACTTTCGAAATACCGTCTCTTCTAGTTCGTGCGTCATTCTGCCGGGTAACGCGACGTTTCACTTTCGACTCTCCGATGTACCGCTCCGAGCGGAACGGCTAAGCGGTGGCCTTGACTACGTTTCGTGCCTCCCTTCCCTCTTCCCTCTCTCCTTCCAAGTTAAAGCGCACAGATATCGTGTCCTTCGTGTACACGTACTTCGTGTATCCGTTCTTCGTGTCCACCGACTATACCCCGAACGCTGCTCCATGGAGTTTGAAGCTGAAGTTCTAAGGTTTCTCGCTTCTCTGGAAAGTTCTGCTCAAAGCAGGGAGAAAGAACACGGGTAGGTGAAACTTGTAGATCGTAGAAAGTGCATCGAGCGGCGGACGGCAATGGTGAGGAGCAATATGGTTGTTTAAAGGATTTTCGTCTTTTTTCTTTTTTTCTTTTTTTTTTTTCCCCTATTTCTCTTCGTTTCTTTTATCGCTTGTAAATGGAACTCGTAGTAGATATTACTACCGGTGTTCTGGAAGATAAGGGAAGATAAAGCTATGTGCTGGAAGATTAACTTAGTAGTTTTCTAATGATAAACTTTATGTAACATTCGATTTAGATTTGACATAGGAATTCAATTATTGGACGAGTCGACAGTTTTTATCTATTTCTGAGGTTCAAATGTATGTTAACGATTAACGATAGTACAATATATAATTTTTTGACCAAGTATATACTAAATATTTTATTTAGCGTTGTAATGTTAAAAATTATCATAGAAAAAGTAATTAGGATAAAAAAATTTCTTTAAACGAATAAAAGTAAAATATCGATATTTTCAATTAGAAATAAAAATTGAATCTTTCCAAGACAACGGTATCGTCGACTTTATTGTCTCGCGAGAAGGGATTGATACTCGAAGATAACGAGGAAATTTTACCCTATAATTTCCTAGAAAGTCACAGGTTTCTATCGATTACTCGGTGTCGAGTGTCGAAACATCCGATCTACTTACGATCTACCGTATCAAGGGGTGTCTTCCCCCAAGAAACTTATCTCTTACCTTTCGACACCGAGTAATCTCGCAAACCTTGTAAACCATGAAACTGACAACCTATCGTGTATCATTTTGAATCTTTTCACTCGTTCTATCAAATTCTAAAATATATAAAATTTCAAATAATTATAATATAAAAGATTAAAAATTTTTCCGATTTAAATAACAAATTTTTGTCAACAAAAATTATCATTCAAATTATTATCAATAAAATTATCACAGGAAAAAAGAATTAACGTGATATATATTTAAAAACTTCGAGTATTTCAACAATCGATATATCAATTTTATATTCAATCTTCACTCACGAATCACTCACAAAGATCGAAAAGAAGGACGAAATTAACCTAATTCGGGGGAGGTTAGACCAAGAAGCCCGTGGCGTGGTTATATCGTTGGCATCTTTACTAGCTCTTCTTGGAAAATTGTAATTTACAGCACGTTGGAACATTACGGTACAATGACCGCCCCGACCGTCCACGGAATATCGACTGGAAAAAAAACATTATTTTACGTAATTACAGAAGCGCGAAATTCCGGGAAAAGGCCGGCAACGATCCATTGTTACTCTTTACGGACGACAGCCTCTTATTGTCGTGACAGACTACTACGTGTATATTCGTGTCACGTTACTGAAACATTTCTTCCACGAAAAATGGAGGAAGGAAAAAGAGAATGGAAAAAAAAAAAAAAAAAAAAGAATGGAAAATCGTAGGAAGTGGGAAAACGAAACTTCCTCCGTTACGAAACTTGCGTGTTCGTCCGCTAATCTGCGTTACGTTACGCCGCGTATAGTATTACGTGAACAGATCACGTTTGTCGAGTTTTTACTTTGTCATCGGATCGTTTGCCGTTTCGTGTGTAACGTGCGCGTATGATTGATGTATGCGCATTCAACGCTTATAAGTTCAACATTGGGGAAACTTAAAAAGACGGGAAATTATCATTTCGCATTCGTATTCAATTGTATTTTCAATAGTAACGAATAAACTTTACGAATAATCTAAACTTAACCTAACTAACCTAACTAACCTAACCTAACCTAACCTAACCTAACTTAACCTAACCTAACTTAACCTAACCTAACCTAACCTAACCTAACCTAACCTAACTTAACCTAACCTAACCTAACCTAATCTAACCTAACTTAACTTATCGTAACCTAATCTAACTTAACTTAACCTAACCTAACCTAACTTAGCCTAACCTAACTTAATCTAACCTAACTTAATCTAACCTAACTTAGCCTAACTTAACCCGAACGAATCTTGATTTTGCACGACAACTTAACTTGTGAATCGTGGATTATCGATTGTTCCAGATCCAGAAAGCGGCGACCCAGCTCGAGCAACGATTCTGAACGATCGTTCAGCGGTTGGAGCGAGCGAATACCCCACGGATGTGGTCGCGAGGGGTGTCGCACAAACGAGCGCGGCGACTGCATGGATGAATGCACAGCCGCGCTAGTTCTCATGTCGCTCTCGTGCTCGCCACACAGCCCTCACAATCCTTTACCGTTACACTGCCAACATAATTACGGTTAGTATTATAATTTCGAATAATCCTATCGAGTTGTATAAAATTATCATACTATTTTATCATGTTCATTTGAAAAAAAAGAGACTGGGTAAAAGGGAATAAGAATTAAGAACGTGTTAGGAGTTAAATATAAAATTGATATATATATATATATATATATAAGCAAAGAAAAATTAATTTTTATATTTATTACGTACATTTGAACGATCAAGGAAAGCGGCTATAAATTCAACCTTGCCGCAATGTCTGACAACAGGTTCTATCTAATCTCAATTCAAAAGATTAATCGCAACGATCTTTCAATTCCAATTCATTAATCTGAATCTTCGAGTACGTACACAGATACAGAATTTTTTCTACAGATAAAATATATTATATTATATTTATAGGCACGAAATTGTTAATCGAAAAGAGAAATCTTTAAACCCCGAAATTTAAATCGAACACGCGTTTCAGCAACCAAGAAACGGATGAATGGAGAGGGGCAATGATTAATTTAATTAAAAACGATCCTCTGGTATTTTCGAAAAGGTTCCTGGGGAGGTCGAGGAGGCGGAGGTGGCGGCATGGTGGTCGGCTCGCCAGGAGTCGGCGGCACATCGAACAGCAGCAGCAGCAGCGGGGCTTCGTGGCGTAGCGGCACCCCCAGCCCCCCTCTCAGCGACGAGGGGGCGCCCACCACCGGCTCCCTGTGGCCGACTTCGGCCCATTCCTCGCACAATCAACAACACTACCCTTACAACGTGTCCGGATCGTCGTCGAGCAGCACCCCAGGCTCGACCACCACTTTGGACGAGGGCATAGTGCCCGATTACCTCGAGGAGCAACACCCCCGCAAGAAGAAGGTAAGTTCGAGCCGAGCGTAACCGAATGGTGTGATGATTGTATCTTTTTCTTTTTTTTTGTTTTTTTTTTTGTTTTATCGATCGATCGATGGAGGGGGAGGGAGAGGGGGAGAAGTTTGCTTATCGCACGAGATAACGATTCGTTTGCGTTTTTCTCCGTTGGCGAATCCGTTGGATGAACTTGGCCTTCGAACAGTATAGGGAATTATCTTGTCGTTTTATTGTCGAGCTAAGCAGGTTCTTCATTCTTCCTTTTATGGGAGATTTATTTTTTGCTTTATCGTCGAGGGGTGACGCGCGAGATTAGTCATCTTAATCGTCATGGATATATTTATATAGAAGGTTGTTTCGAAGGATAGAAGAGGCCGTTTTTCTGGAAAAATTCGCGTCGGTTTTGGTGGTGGGTTTCTCAGTTTGAAGGGGATCGGCGGAGTTTGAAGGTTTTTTTTTCTTTTCTCTCTCTTTTGCATTTATTTCTTTCTCCTTTTGTGGTAATATTTTGTTCGTAAGTATTTTCAATTTGTGCGTTAAATCCTGGATGGATTAGTCTTCTGGATGGATATGTTTATAAAGCTTGTATTTTAAAAAAAGCAGATTCTCCTTGAAAAAAAATCTACAAAATTTACTTTTACTCGTTACTTTCTTCCATCTTCCACTTTTACTTTCGTGGTTTCCTTATCATTCTTCGTGCGTCATTTTTCTCGACAACAAAGTTGCAAAAAAAAAAAAAAAGTTTCGCAAACTTCTCGAGATAAGATTAAAAAAGTTGCTTTTATTCATTTTTCCTTCTTCTCTTTCTTGCACACAGGTATTCTTCCATCCACGAAAAATACCATATTTCAAACTTCTTATCTAAATATTAATTCAAATCGCAATGTCGCAAAAAGAAAAAAACAAAAGCAAAAAAAAAATTGCACACTTACAATTTTCCACTCCGAAAGATCTTTCGAACGCCTAATGCCAAGTGTCAACCCTTTGCACTCCAAGCCTGTTTCGCTCGAAACTCCAGACTCAGACCCGCGCCTTTCATAAGGCGGTAAGTCTCATAAGATTACCATAATTAATCGTAAGATAAGATTATAAAGAGCTTAGGAATCTATTTATGAAGCTATATTCTAAAAAAATCAAACATAAATAAATATTGTTGAAGAGTCACCGTTGGAGAGCAAAGGGTTAATAAATTCTCCTCCTCGTACATACTTGAACGCAGTTTTATCGTGAAGATCCTGTTCGAAGCAACGTCTCCTCCCCCCTGCCTCCGAGGGTTATCATCGGGGCGCACAATTAAATCGGTTTCACGAGGCGTGGCGGGCTTATCTCCTCGAACTTGTAGCCCCTTCCGCGTTCTACTAAGCCTACATTTAATTAACGACAAACGAGAGGACTGATAAAGCTGGTCGCACTTGCGTAACATCATACATACGCCGCCGGGAGCTCGAAGCAGCGTGCTTGTGCGCGACGCCGTGAGATGATCTTTCAGGGCGAGGAGACGCGATGGTGGTGGCGATGTGCCCTTTTCTTACGTAGCCCAAGTGTCGCTTCAGTGCCGATGACGGTTGGTGTCCGGTGGAGAGGAGTGGGGATATGCGCCGAAGCTTGAACGCATTGTCCGTGACGATTTTCCATGTGCGCGAGAGCGAACGACTCGACTTGGAAACGTGTCGAATCATTTTGCGTCCAATATTGATTTTAGATAATTGATTTAGTTCTTTAGAGTGGTTTAGAATGTTTCAAAACGGGCAGTTTGAAATGAAAATGTGATTCGGTGGTTTGACGATGATAATCGATGATAGTCGAGGCGAGATAGGCGGTTAAAAATTGGGAGAATAATGTCGCGGTTACGGTTTCGATTACGGTTTCGTAAAATAAAAGCTGGATTATTCTATGAACGACGAGGTACGTATATATTTGGTTTTGGATGACATTCATGGAGTTGGAACATATTATTTATATTGCTTTCTAGAATTTTGTCTTTTTGATTTGTGCGCGATGATGAACGTGTCGATAATTGGGCGTATTTTCGTGTAAATGCGTATCGCGATAAGTATATAAGGAGATCACTTGTATATCGCGTTTGATTACGCAGCATCTGTTTACGATGTGTTCCGATACCATTGGTATCCGAAACGTTTATTATGGCTCGACGAATCGTAATTATCGTTTCCCTCGAAAATTTTAACGATGCTTAAGATATTATGAAGCAACTTGAAAATACCATTACGTTACAAAAGTTATGAATTTTGTTAAGTATAAATTTTCGTTAATTAACACGCTCGTCGTTTTAAACGGATTATTAATAATTTTAATAATTTATCCTTTCGTTATGCAACTTCTCTATCATCTATCGTAATATTCACTTTAATTCTATTTCCTAACCTTAAATCGGTAATTTTAAATAATTTATGGCCGTATAATAAAAGCACAATACGCGTTTCATTTCAGTTTTTATTACTTTTTGCAGTAATAATCGATAATTCTAAGAGAACTTTGTGGTTAAAGAAATAAGTTTTTCATATCCATTGAGAAGCAAAAAAAACCAATGCAAAATGCAGATAGGAAAAGAAACTCGATTAATAGATTCGATTAATAAACTCTTTATATAAATAGAAGAAAGAAATAATGAAGATTAAATCTTTCGAATTAAAACAAACGTCTGACGAAATTTCTTCGATCGTGTTCCCACCAAATAATTTCTCCTCGCTCAGTTTTCTCAATCGTGAACGACGCATAGTTACGAAACGTGAGACGTCTCGTTTTCACCCGGGGCTCTAAGAAAGAAGAGAATGGAAAAGGGAAAGAGAGAAAGAAAGAAAGAAAAAAGAAAAAAGAGAAAAGCACCGGAATCGTCTGAATGCAGAGCACGTCAATAACGGTGTAACCTTGCAACGCTCGAACGATCGAGAATCTCGCGTTTAGATTTTCATTTGGATCCATTCTAACTCCATCTGCGTTCTAACCATCGACTCGAACATCCAATCGATTTTTTTCTTTTTTTTTTTTCTATTCCTTGAATCCGGAAAAAATTTCACTCGTGTGGTGAAAAATATGTGATACAGGGATTAAAAGTGTTTTAGAGCAAACGTAGATAAATTCGTGATAGTGCAGCTAACAATTGATGTAATAAATTTGATAAATTTGATAAATCAGAGATTAATTTACGAATATATATATATATATATTTATTAGATAGGAATTTTTGTTGATACATTCTGATTATCGGGAAATTAAGATCTAGATAATTAACGATCGATTAATTGCCGTTCTATTGTTATTGATCATAAAAGTATTTCTATTCCTCGGTCATTTTTGTAGGAATGAATAATCGATGAAATATTTAGCTTATTTGATATTTGGAAAATTTGGTAATACATTTTCGATAATTTTTACGAATTATCTTTAAAGTTTAGCAATTTTGATGATGTTTGTTTGATGTATGTTGATAAAAATTTCTATTAAATTTGTAAAAAAAAAAATATACGAGATGAAACGGTGGTTTGGAGTTTTGGTTAGAAGCGTCTGATGTTGAAATTTAAAATTTTCTCCGAGCAGTGACAGTAGTACAAGGTGTATTAGGATGAAGTGAATGGAATTAGGAGAGGATTAAATCGTGACGATATTTGATGAGGAAATTCTCTGACTATCAACGAGCAGAGAGTATATGTATGGAATACGAAAAAAGTCGAATGAAGGGAACGAAACGAAGTAAAAGTGGAGAACTTTTGATGTAACACGAAAGCAACAAAGCCAGGATTGAATATAGAGTACCTGGGAACCAAACCTGCATACTTCATTTTTCCTTTCTTCAAAAAAAAAAAAAAAAAAGAAGATTGATTTTCAAAAAAGTTAATAGCTTTTTTCCTCTTAAAATACAATTTTTACCTTTTCTTTTCTTCTAAGTCATATCTTCTTCTCACTAAATTTTCCCCAGTCACGAAAACGTTACTTTGAGAAAAGTTTTCAAATATCATTCATAAATCTGTCGTTTTCCAATTTTATCCTAAAACATTTAATAATTCACAAGCAAAAAATTCTATTATCTCTCAAACAACCAACATTCTTTACGCGTAAAATCTTTTCACGTGTCTATTAATTTTAGAGACATTTAATAAAACTCAGTTTCTTCGTCCTCAACTTCGATCTTTATTAAAGAAAAAAAAAAAAAAAGAAAAAGAACACGTGTCTAATATATCTAGATGCTCCACTTTGCACATTGTGAACTTGAAGTTAGACTTATTGCGTGCATAGATTGCAAGTATGCCCACCCTTCGTAACGATCGCAATCGTCTCAGACGGTCGATCGTATAGTAGACGCATATGCCAAATGGACGCTGATGACATAAGCCTCGACCGAGCCAACGGTGTAAACACGTGCGGCGATTTTCGGTAATTTCGTAAGATGGCTAACAAGTTGAACCTTGAGGTATTATCGCCGCGCTCTAAACTTAGGCGCGCGTCGCACTAAGGATGCCGGTGGAAAATCGGTACGACCGGGTCCAAAAATAACGAGGGGCGAGGCTCGAGCGAACGAAAAAACACGGCCTCACTTGCAGCCGCCTCTCCGGTTAACCTGTTTTGCCCTTATGGTTTTTCAGATCCGGGCGAAAGTGAGCCGCGACCCGATCGAGAATGGACCAGCTAACAGCGCCGTCTACGAAAGCGAACAGGTGAGTTTTCTCCACTTCTTCTTTTTCTTCTTCATAAAATTCGTAATGGAAAAATTTACAATTCGATCGAATCATTCTTAAGCAAGATGTATTTATATTCGTTATTATATACGTTTTTAAAAATTTTCGAGTATAAATCTTCGATTAGGAATTAATAGGATTAATATTCTCTTTTCCCATCTACAACTTAATCACTTAAATCTTGAAAATTTTATCACTTAGATTTTAAAAATATTCAAGTATATTTATTACTTATATCTTATTAAATATTTTCTTTTTTTCGATGAATTTCGTGGAACGTCGCTCGCGTCATATCAATGAAATTCATGTAAAAATTTGCAACTCAATCGAATTATTCTTAAAGATATCTCTATTCGTTTTTAAAAATTTTCAAGTATATATTATAATCTTCGATTACGAACGATTAATATTCGAATCTCTTTTTCTATCTACGACTTAACCACTTAAATCTTAATATTTAAATATTCCTTTTTCTTCTTCAACGAATTTCATATGCAACATCGTATACCAATTCATGTAAAAATTTGCAACTCAATCGAACTATTCTTAAACGAGGTATGTCTATTCATTTTTAAAAATTCTCAAGTATATATCAATCTTCGATTAATATTCGAATCTTTTTTCCCATCTACAACTTAACCACTTGAATCTTAATATTTAAATATTCCTTTTTCTTCTTCAACGAATTTCATATGCAACATCGTATACCAATTCATGTAAAAATTTGCAACTCAATCGAACTATTCTTAAACGAGATATGACTATTTCGATATACATCGATCTTCGATTAATATTCGAACCACTCGAACAAACTCCCACCTAAACCACTTGAATCTTAACATCTAAATATTCTGTTTTCCTCGATTATTCCGTGCAACGCCTACCACATCGGCCGCATATCCCAACCGTTCAGCTTTCGATTATAAGCCCGTCCTTTTGCGAGGCCGTCTCTACAAATGCCAACGGGCCGATATATCTTCGCGGAGAACGTTCGTAACCCAGTTAGCCCCGAAGGTTCCTCCTACTTTCACCGACCGCAAAGTCGACTTCTGTCCATTCAACTGGCCTCCCGGAGTCGGAGGAGGAATCAACGACCCGGTCGAGGTACCGTTCGAGTTTGCCACGCGGCTGGATCCGCGCGATCGAGCGCATAATTTTCGACTACTTTCACTGGCTTCGCCACCTGTGCCTGTCCATTTTATTCCTCTGAATTCGCGCACCTGACCCAGTTGACCGTTTCGAGAGATATCCGCGTCGAGTCGACGATCAAGGTCATTGGGCTGGCTAGATTCTCTCTTCTCTACCAGATAGACTGGTTCGATGGACGTGTACCATATCATATTGGCAATCGTGGGCAGGAAAACTCTCGATAGGGGCAGGGGACGGCCAGGAAGTGGTATTCCATGGAACGATCCATGGAACGATAGCGACCATGTCACGATGCTCTTTCTATCTGGCTTGCCTATTACTTGAATGGCTGATATGTGAAAGTATCGATTAAGTTTATTTTTGCTTTGTATTTTCGATTAAATTCGATTGGGGATATTTTAGGAAAAATCTGTAATTATATTAAGAAATGAGAGAAAGTAAGATTGTTGGTTTAAAATTTATAATGTGGCAAGGGCTTACGACCAGAATATACGACGTCTAGAATAGATTTTTCAAGTTCAAGCTCTTCGATTCTTGTCTCCTCTAGGATTTTCGAAATAATGTTGGTTATATAATTCTTCTAAAAATATATATTTTAGTAAAATCCATATTTAATATTGGTGGAGAATATTTTATTGGTAAAATGTTTTTTCTTCATTTTTAATTTATCTTAGAGGTATAAATGTTTCTTTGATACGTGCAATCGTGTATGGTAAAATCGGATGCATTCTGTTTTTCTCGAAATCATGAGCTATAATCATGTTCGTTATGATGACGCTAATGTCGCGACTGATAAATAATCGCACTGACATTGATGTTATCGCGAAACATCGAACAATAATTCTATTAAAAATTATTTAGAGTAGAGTGCGCCACTGAAATGGAAACTGTAGATATATCTATATTATAATTCTTCACTTAAAAAAAAAAAAAAAAAAATATTGATACTGAATTAATATTTCTAGCTATTTAATTATTTATGTTTAACACTTTAGTTTGATAAAATTTTTCTTTTTGACACAACCATATATTTACCCTCAACTCAGCATTCTTTAAATTCTACTAAGAACGTTTCACCGCTCAAGTAACTCCATTATAAAATCCTTGTGCTCGAAGGTCTCGTAACTATTCCAGTCACCATACTCCACGAATAACTTTCATTCACCCTAGTAAATACAATCACTATCAATCGCACGTTCTCACTTCTTTTCCTAATCCTCTTTCTTCACGACCCTTATTCCCTAAACTTTCAAGATTTCGAATCGGTTATCAAAATCAATTCTAATACGAAATCATATCACCTGTCTCTCTCTCTCTCTCTTTCTCTGTCTTCTTTTCCTACATTAAAAGGATGCGTCTGCGCAGAACAGTATTGCCAACGCGACGCACGCCTCCGCATGGACCTAGATCTGTACGGAGCACGGCAAGAACCGGCGCCGGCGTTGCACCGCATCGCAGTGCACACAGTACGTGACGTCATCGGTGGCACGTGCCTTTCCCCTTGCCTCCCACCGCAGCCGGCACTGCAGTGCTGGGTGGCGTGCAGAGGGGCGGAGGGGTGGCCGGCCCAGAGGGATGTGGTGGGGGAAGGTAGTTAAGGTCACCGTGGCCCTGACTGCACGCGCGCGAAATGATATCCGTGTGCAAACCGGTGCAATTGTGTGCGATCTCGTGCTCTTGCGATTCACGTGTGCGCACGCGCGCTCATAGTATTCACGGACGGAAAGATTTATTTCTAATTCCACCGCAACCGTTCTTTCGTCTCCCTCTTTTCAAACTCGACCACGACAATAACTTAGAAGGAGAAAGAGAGAAGTTGTGCATAGATTCGAGGTGAATTCGAGTGATGGTCAAGGCCCGCGAGCCTCGACGGCCAACTTTCCTTCCTTTCCGCCCACTCGTCGTCCACCCTTTGGTTCCTAGGCAGCTGGGGTGGAGGGCCACGAAATGACCTAGAGTGTCGAGCGTGGGCTTCGCTCGGGCCGCGCGTGGCACGGCATTGCATCGTTTTTGAACGTGTAGTTGCAGTAGAGGTGGGATCCTGTTGGTCGGAGGTAGAAATGGTTGCTTGGTTTACGAGATATTGGACTTGATGCAAATGGCTGAGTATGGGTGTTGATCGATTTTTTTATCTTGCTCTTTTTATAATAACATTTTCAAAACTCGTGTATGATATTGCGAGAGATTCTTTCGTTGGATTATCTAATAATAAATGAAGTGCTTGATGAATATTTAATTTGGAAAAAGGTAGTTGTTAGCATTAATAAGCTATATATGATAAATTTGAAATATAAAATATAAAATATTTCTATTACTATCATAAATTTAAATATAGTGTAATAATAAATTTTTTTTTACCATTAAATATCGTGTTACAATAATTATCATTGCGAAATTATGTAAATAATCTCGAACTAACTTAACCTTATTTGAAAACGAAAACGCAATATAAACATTCTACATAATTGAATCTGCTTCAAAAAAAAGGAAGGAAAAATCACTAAGAAATATTTTTTAATTTCCAATCATTTAATACATGATTATATTCAGCCATTTATATCTTTATACGCATGATGCGATCACACTTTCTATTTAACTTCTCAAAGCTTTCCTAGTGATATTTGAACAGTAATTTATAATAGATAAAATGAATAGTTGACGAATATTGTAAACGGCGCTTTATGAAAATATAGCAATACATGCGACACCGTGGCCGTTACGGGAAACATAATTCTAAAGTTGTTCAACGGACAAAGTGAGAGTAATGTATCCTTCCATAAATTCTTTGACACGTGGTTAGATTCGATAATTTAATGTCTCAACGAAATCAAGGTCGACTGCATCTTCCCGGTAAATCCAAAAATATATCTAACGCAATAAAATTACATCGATGCACTATACTCGTTGCTTGCTTCGTTATTCAACTGTAAAATCATAGTAGAAAGCATACTTAGCTGTCAATCAGTTACATAATTCGACCTGTCGTTTGCATAACTTAAACGAGAAGAAAATTATGCGAATTTATCTTTCATATCATATTACGTAATAGAAATTCTCACAATTTTATATTGTGTGAATATTGATAGTTAAAGACGACATTGATTTTATACCTAACCTAATTCAGAAATGTCCAATCATTTTTAAAATTGAAAAATATACATGAAAAATTTATAGTAACGTAAATTAGATATATATCATTATATTTTTTAAATGAAACATTGAATTTTATGAAAATTATATGAAATTATCTGTGCAATTTTTTAAAAATTTACTAAATATCAGATAGAGATGTTCTCGATATACAAATGCGGATGTTCCGATTCATTTTCAACGATATACATATATATGCGTGCGTACAGTTGAAACTCTGGGACGTTGGGTTGTATTGTGACACGTCCGTCTATCTTACGTAATAATATTGCGTAAACTTGACGTTCACCGTAATGTCTGTAGTACATATTTCCGTGCGCCCAGCAACAACGAACCGGCTAGAATCAGGTCTGAAGTGTAATCATACATTCTAATTCTCTTCTTTTCTTCGTTTCTTTTTTGATGTTATTATATTGTGTTAGATTAGTTAGATTGCTTTTGTGATTTCGTTTAATTAATTATAATAATTATAATAATTAAATTTCGATATATAATTTCATATAATATTTTTAATTTTTTTTTTTTCAGATAAATTTTTCGACCTAATTACAAATTTCATTTTTCAAAACTTCCTTTTTTTTAAAGGAAAATTTTTAATGATATTACCAAATCAATAAATTATGTAGAAAATAATTCTATTATTAATATATGCAACGTTAATATTGTGTGATCGTTAATAA